GGGCTGGGGGTATTGTCTCTAACACTGTGGTAGCGGGAGGGGGGACAGTTCTGGTTCTGACCTGGGGTGGGGGGAGGAGTCTCACAAGCCCTGAGAGCCAGGGGGAGGGGGCACCCTTTTCCTGGCGGGTGCTGGTGCCACCACAGCCTTGTTCTTGCCCTGAGTGGGAGGGCGGTTCCCCAGGGTCCTGTCCCCGCTCTGGGGCGATCAATGCAGAACCCAGGAGTCCGAGCTCCCAGCCCCCCCTCCTTCCCCCACTCCTGCCACACTCTAACCCAGTAAACTCCACTTCCTGCCCTAACCACTGGGGAAAAACCCAGGAGTCCGGTCTCCGCCCACTGCTCTAACCACTTTTCCAGGCTCCTCCCTCCCTAGTGTGGTCACTGGGATGACACTGCCCCTGCTGCTTGGGGTATTGGCACCACCCCAGGCACTGCTGTCAACGTTGCTGTTGTATGGGGCAGCAGCGCCACCTGCTGGAGGGTGCATGAATGCAGGGCCCAGCTTTTAGGGCAGCAGCCACCTGGTGCCCAAGTCTTTGCGTGGCCCTTGGAATCAGGGCAAAGGGGCGAGCACCCGACTGGGGCAGAAGTGTGTGTGTGTGGGGGGGGGACCTGAGGAGGTGGGCACTTCCCAAGAGACGCTGGTGGAGGCTCTTTCCCTCCCACACTCCCCATAGCAAAGGTTTGGGTCTGGGGCACTTTCATCAGGCTGCAGAACCTGGCTCAAGAATCTGAGTTTGTCATTGTAGCAAATCCTGTCTCTGTCCCACCCCTCGGGTGTGGAGACACTTTGAACCCACGAGCTAGGCGAGGCTGGGGGCCCATGGATGGAGAAGGTGGAGGGGGCTGTGGGACCAGAGATGGGGAAGGTGGAGGGGACTGGGGGTCCATGGACCATAGAATCAGAGAATATCAGGGTTGGAAGGGACCTCAGGAGCTCATCTAGTCCAATCCCCTGCTCAAAGCAGGACCAACACCAACTAAATCATCCCAGCCAGGGCTTTGTCAAGCCGGGCCTTAAAAACCTCTAAGGAAGGAGATTCCACCACCTCCCTAGATAACCCATTCCAGGATGGGAGAGGCAGGGGGGGGACTGGGGGCCTGTGGATGGGGAAGGTGGAGGAGACTGGGGCTCCATGGATGGGGGAGACAGAGTGGCTGGGGGACCAGGGATGGGGAAGATGGAGGGGGCTGGGGGCCTGTGGATGGGGGTGGGTGGGAGAGCTGAGGGACCGGAGATGGGGAAGGTGGAGGGGGCTGATGGGGGCCTGTGGATGGGGGAGGTGGGGGGGCTGAGGGACAAGGGAGGGGGGAGGTGGGGGGGGGGGGGGGGGCGTGGAGGGGGGGGGGGGGGGGGGGGAAGGGGGGGGCCCTCAGCAGTCACTCTCCCATGTCCATAGGCTATGGGACCCAGGGTTGGGGTCACTCCAGTGTGGGGCATCTGGTTACTATGGCGTCAGCCTGGCGGGATCAATCCCTGCCCTGTCTTTGTGGTCTCACTCACCTGCCAGCTAGACTCCTTGGGGGGAGGGTCTCAGAGTCAGTCCCAGCCTCCACCCCTCCAGGGCTCTGCTGCCATCCTGGGCTGCTGAGTCGTCCGTCCCATGAGTGCCAGGGTCATGCCCCCCCATTAGGGTGAGTCTCGCTCCCCCCCCCATGGAAACTGAGGAAAAATGGGCGAGGGCAGCAGAGCATGCCCAGGGTGGGACATGGCACGGACCCAGGGCTGGCACCAGGGCCACCCTTCCCCTGGGTGCCTTGCTCCCATCATGCCCTTGGGCACAGAGGAGCCCCAACAGGACACTGCCAGGCTCTCCCCGGGACTCAGGGCCCCAGTGTCTGTCGGCTCCTCCCCAGCTGGGCCCCCGGCTTGTATCTCCCGGGCCCCACCGTGTGCCCCCCCAGCCAGTGGAGCTAGGAGGGTGCCAGGGGCTGGTGTCTCTCTGCACCCTCCCTGGGGGGTTTTGACCAAATGCCCTAGGCACCTGCCCAGCTGCACACCTGCCCCTAGGCACAACCCTCTGTAGCCTCCGCACCCTCTAGGGCCAGGTGATGATCCTGCCAGGGCTGGAGTCACATTCCTTCCCCCACAGGCCGGGCCCACATGTCTGGTGCTCGATGGATGCAGGGACCGGCCACGTCATGGGCAGAGAAGCAGGGATCTGTGTACGCAAGGCAGAGCCCAGAGCCAACCAGCAAGCACCATTCAGACCAGGGCATCAGCCACTCACAACCCTGCTTGTGGGAGGGGAGTGGGGGCTAGTGGTTAGAGCAGGGGAGGCTGGGAGTCAGGACTCCTGGGTTCTAACCCCAGCTCTGAGAGGGATGTGGAGCCTAGGGGGTAAAAGCAAGTAGGCGGTTGGAGGAAGAGGGGCTGGGAGTCAGGATTCCTGGGGACTAGCCCCAGCTCTGTCACTTACTTGGGCCAGTCTCAGTCCTGCTCTATGCCTCAGTTTCCCCCCTTAACCAAGATTAACGCTCCCACTTTACCTACCGCTGCTGTGCTTGTGGGGATGCTACGGGCCGACTCCTCCGCTCCCTGCCTTGGGGGAATCGGGCATTGCCCCACAGAGCCAGCAAGAGCTGAACCAGGCTCAAGGCCCAGACCGGCCCTGCCCAGCCCCTCTGCCCGGTGCAGTGCAGGCTCCTCGCTGGGGGCCGTGGCTCCTGTTCCCTTTGCTGGGAAAAGAAACTCCCTGTGCCTGAGCAGGGCTCAGGGGACAGCCCAGCGCCCGCACCAGGGTCGGGATCCCAGCGAGGGGGGCTTTCCATCTGCCAGTCACATAGCAGGGGGGAGGGGGGACTTGGCCCATGCTGGCACCGCCAGTGCCAGAAACACAGAATTGACCCAACTGAAAAATCACAAGGCTGCTTCGTCCCTTGGCTCCTTGGGCTGGGAATCCCCATGAGCAGCCTCGCTGAGCCAGTGCTGCGGTGCTCCGCCTAACAGCTGCCTTGCTGCAGCCCAGAGGTGGCTGCATTTCAGTGCTGGGAGCCTGCCCCACTCTGAGTGCCATGAGCCCTTTGCTGCCCTGGGGTGCCATCCGGAGGGGGAAAGGGGAGGGACCTGGGAACCTGGCTACACTGAGCCCCATCTGCAAAGGTTTGCGAGCCTCATGCAGGATGCTTCCCCGCAGACACTACTCCACAACAAGCATGTCAGCCAGGCAGGCATTAGCCGGGCAATGAGCTGGCTGGTGGCCATGTGCCCATGCGTGTGGGCACCACTGCCCTCTGCTGGCTGGAATCAGACGTGCTCGACTCTGGGTCATAACCCATGCACTGTCCCCAGCTAGCAGGGATTCTCTTTCACCTCCTGTACTGGCGCTGGGGGTCTCCTGGGTTCTAGGCCTGGGTGGGCGCAGCCTGTGCAGTGCCAGGGTGGAGTGCCGGGGGAGGGCGCTATAGGGCACAGGGGCCGGCGCAGCGACAGACACACACAGCGAACCTGGGCATTGTGGAGTCAAACCTTGAACTTTATTGTTGTCAGGGTGCGGGGGGCTCGAGCGGAAACACGTCAGTGTCACGGCGAGAATCCAGCACAGGACGGACGGGGAGAGACGTTTGGGGTGGAGGCAAAGCCTGGGAGGGCGGTGGGGGGGCGTGCAGGATCTCACCCGAGAGCCCCGCGTAGGACAGTGCTTGGCTGAGGTAATGCAGGGAGCATGTGACCCGGACCCCCGCCCCAAGCGGAGGCCCCCCCTTGTCTATTGCTTTTGCTTTATCACAGTTTTGCTGGAGGAGTTGGGAATTGCAGGCGCGAGCTGGGGGGGTCTGATGCTGAGCTCTGAGCCGGCAGGGGTATGGGCAGCATGGGGGGTTCAGGAGCCCTGGGCAGGAGCAGGTGTCTAGCCTGGAGCCTAACCCCAGCCCCCAATTGTCCCAGGGCGCTGAGCTCTGAGGCATTCCCCACCCAGACCGTGGGCTGAAGGGGGGGGGACAGCAGCATCCAGCCCCATCAAGTGCCTGCCCCACAACCAAGGAGCTAGAGGGGCAGGACCCCTTGTCCCTGACCATGCAGGGGGTGGCCCAAGGGCTAGATCAGCCCCCAGCCAACCCCTTGGAGGTGGAAGCTGGTTCGAGCCCCCACCCCGGGCCTGGGACAGGAGTGGACGTCCCTGGCCCCACAGTTGAGATCAGCATCCCCTGCTGCCCCCAGGGTCAAGGGAGCCATGGGAGCTGAACCTCTCCAGACAATGAGAGGCTGCATTTGGGCAAGTGGCCAGGCCAGGGGCCTGCTGAGGTGTCATGTGTCATGGGCCCCGCGCTGCTGGGGGCGGGGGGCAATTCTCCTCCAGCAGCCAGGGCTTTGGGGGCAGTGACTGACACCTGAGGGGGGAGGTGCTGGCCTGTCACATGAGCCCTGTGCTGGGGGACACCCAGTCAATGGAGCACCAGGCACCATACAAAAGGGCAGCCATGGGGGCCAGGCCAGCATTCCCAGGGTTGCCGAGGTAAGGATGGGGGACTGTTTTGGTATTAGCCCTCCCCCCTCCAGCCTGGCACTGCCAGCCCCGGGCATTTAACGAGTGTCTGGGATTTAACGGCTGGGGGGACCTAGGGGGGAGGGGAGGAGGGCTGGTTAATCTCCAGGAAATGACCTGGCCTCTCTGGCTAAGCTGAGGGGCCTGGGGCCAGGCTGCTGGCTCACTGAGTGGCTTCGGGTGGTCCCAGAGGGGATGGGGACGTGCTGGGGGGCGGCCGCCATGGCAACAGCATCACAACAGCCCTTCACAAGTCTGCATCTGGGGCAGCATTTTTCCAGCAGCACTTGGAGCTTCCCTGGGCAACCCCCCCCCACCCCTCCCCTGGGCACTCTAGCCCTTCACCTCCCATCCCCTCCCCACATCCTTCCCCTACCCCCCTACATGGGCACCCCACACATCCCTTCCCCTGATGTGCCCCGACCCCTCGATGTGCCCCCATCTCCTCCCGTGGACCCTCTGCACCCCATCCCTTCCCCTGGCCCCCAAGGAGCACCCCCTATTTCCTGCAAACCCTAAGCCCCGCCCCTCCAACCCATGTATTTGAGCTAGGGTCTGGCCAGCTGACCTCCTACACATGAGGGGAGGTTTCCTGGCTGGAACTTGGGGCACCACCTACTCCCTGGCACAGGGACCCCCACCCCCACTCCCTGTTGGGATAGCAGGGGCCCCACGGCAGGGCAAAGGGTGATTCAGCTTGTGCTCAATGCCTGGGCTGAACCCCTCAGGCTGTGGGGGGAGGGGAGGGGCAGGGCCTAGTGTGGGCTGCAGCCCCAGGGAGGTGACAGCTGGGCACCCACGCGGCCCAGGCTGGGTTCCCCTGCCCCACTTGGATCAGACCCCCAGGGTCCGGCCAGGGCTCCGCCCCTGCAGCATCCGAGCAGGTGCCCCACAGTGTGTTGCTTGGGGGGCCCCCCATCCAGTCCTGCCCCACAGGGCGGCCATCCCCAGCCCCCCTCCCGCCAGCTGGGACACCCCCCTCATTCTCAGCACAGCTGATAAAATCACCCAAGCTTGGGGCTTCCCCTCAACCTCCTGGCCCCACGGCAGGAGGCTCAGGCCTGGCCCAGCCAGTGGCTCCCGAGGGACGGAGGGGGGGGGAAGGGCGCTACCTCTAGACACAAAGCTCCTGCCCCGAAGGGTAGAGGGGGGGGCGCGAGGGGCACAGTGTGGGCCACAGGCTGCTGGCCGGGGGCCGTGGTGGCAGCTGGAGGAAGCACGGGGGAGGGTGGGGGGCGCTATGTACATGGGGCGGCCCAGGCCCCAACGTTATTGCAATGGTGTCCGTTCTCCTGGCGGGCCGGGCGGGCCATGAGCCCGGGGGGGATGGGCATCCCTGGGCTCCTGGCTTCGCGCCTCTCAGTGCAAGTGGACATGGCTTGTGTGGCTGGCGGGCTCCCTGGCCCCGCGTGGATCCTGCTGGGGGGCTGTAGGGAGCCCCCCAGCTCTGGGAGGGACGGGGGCGCCTCCCCGCGGAGAGAGAGATACAAAAGAGATTGCTTGCGATCAGTTCCCTGAGGTACCGGGGGACCCTCCCCCCGATCTGGGGTCGCCCCCCAACCTGACACTCCATGGAGTCCGATGGGGGGGCTTCTCCCTTTCCCCGTCCTTCTCCCAAGATTCAGATCCCCCCCACCCTTGGTACCAGGGAGAAAAGAGCAATGAAGGGTGCTGTGGGGGTCCCCTCGGCCGCTTCCCCGCGGGGCCCAGCACTTGTGCAGAGTTGGCTGGGCCTGGGGGGACGGAGCTGGGGGGCAGGCGGGGGATGGGCTTGTCCCTTTTCTTCTGGGGAAAAAGGATCCGAATTCCAGTTAAAAAGCCACAAACGAAAGGCCCCAAGCTCCACCCAGCCCCCGCCAAGCCCCCAGGAGCTCGGGTGGGCGCCGGGCGGGTCCAGCGGAGGTGGGCGTCGAGGGGCACAGCAGCGGGCGTCAGTACGGCGAGAAGAGGATGGGCCCGTGAGCAGTTCTGATGGGCCCCGGGGCTGGACGCAGCAGTGGGTGCGTTAAGGGGGGCCCCTGCAGGAGTGGGGGCGTTGGGCGCAGCGTCAGGGGGGCGGAGGCCGCGGCTGCCATCGCTGCTGCCATGGCCAAGGGGCTGGGCAGGAGTCCGGCCGCCAGCGACTTGGGCAGGTCCTTGGGGAAGGCCAGGGGGCCCTGCAAGAGAGAGAGAGGCGGGCTCAGGGGGTGCCCAGAAAGAGAGAGAGAGACGGGCGTGTGGGGTGGGGTGCCCACAGAGAGTGCCAGGCGTGGGGGGAGGGGCAACCACAGACACAGCACCGGGCTGGGGGGCACCCACAGACACAGCACTGGGTGAGTGGGGTGCCCAACCATGGGGGCTGGCCAGGAAAGACCAAGGTGTGCAGAGGGCACCGGGGGCCATATTTGTCAGCAGGGCCGGCTTTAAGCCGATTTGGCCGATTCCCCGGAATGGGGCCCCGTGCCTAAGAGGGCCCCGCAATGTCCGGGGCTGCCGGTGAAGCGGGGAAAAAAAAAAAAAAAAAAAAGGCGGGGGCCGGGGGCGCGCCCCGCCCTCCAGCGCTTGTGCCGCCATACAGCTGATCAGCGCAAGCCTGGGAGGGAGGGGCGAAGACGCAGGGCGGGGATTTGGGGAGGGATCCAATGGGGGCAGTGAGGGGGCTGGGCTGGGGGCGGGGATTTGGGGAGGGATCCAATGGGGCAGTGAGGGGGCGGGGCTGGGGCGGGGCCAGGGCGGGGATTTGGGGAGGGATCCAATGGGGCAGGGAGGGGGTGGAGTTGGGGCGGGGCCGGGGCGGAGTTGGGGCAGGAGGGGTGCGAGACAATTCGCGACCGGGCGTGGGGCCCCGCACCTGCTAAAGCCGGCCCTGTTTGTCAGCCACCCTCCAGCTGCCTGCCCGCTGCATCCATCCATCTATGGCAGGGGTTCTCAAATTGGCGGTCGGGACCCCTCAAGGGGTCACAAGGTTATTACATGGAGGGTCGCGAGCTGTCAGCCTCCACCCCAAACCCCGCTTGGCCTCCAGCATTTATAATGGTGTTAAATATATAAAAAAGTGTTTTTAATTTATAAGGAGGGGGGGGGGCTTGCTATGTGAAAGGGGTCATCAGTAAAAAAGTTTGAGAGCCACTGGTCTATGGCACCCATCCGTGTCCGTGGCTTCCAGAATACCCGTCTGTCTGTCCGTCCATCCATCTGTCCATGGAATCTCTCTCTCCAACTACCCCCGCCCTCGCCATAGTGCTCCTGCCCCCTCAGCCCCTGTACTCCTAGGAAGCTCCAGCCCCCCTCCAGTGACCAGTCCCAATTCTCTATGCAGCTGGGCCCAGCAAGGTGAAGGGAGCACCCCCACCCCCTGCCTCTCAGCTCTCCCCCCCCACTCCCCTCTGCCTCTCAGCTCACCCCCACTCTCACCCACCCGCCTCTCAGCTCACCCAGGCCGGCTCCCCACCAATTGGGGTGGCCAATTGAAAAGGGCGGCATGTCCGTCCAGTATCGGGGCGGCACGTCTGGGTCTTCGGCGGGAATTCGGCAGCGGGTCCCTCATTCCCGAAGGACCCGCCGCCGCCGAAGTGCCGCTGAAGAAGCGGCGCGTTTGCCCTGCCGCCCCCCCCCCGCCTCTCAGCTCACCCCCAGCTCGGCTGAGCTGCGCTGCTTCTTGTGCCGGCTCAGGAGGGGGTTGGGCTTCCCGGCTACCCCATCCCGGTGTCTCCGGCTGGAAATGTGCTGGGGGGGAGAAGAGAGAGTCAGAGCCCTGCCTTGAGCTGCTAGACCAGGGGTCGGCAACCTTTCAGAAGTGGTGTGCCGAGTCTTCATTTATTCACTCTGATTTAAGGTTTCGCGTGCCAGTCATACATTTGAACGTTTTTAGAAGGTCTCTTTCTATAAGTCTATAATATATAACTAAACTATTGTTGTATGAAAGTAAATAAGGTTTTTAAAATGTTTAAGAAGCTTCATTTAAAATTAAATTAAAATGCAGAGCCCCCCGGTCTGGTGGCCAGGACCCGGGCAGCGTGAGTGCCACTGAAAATCAGCTCGTGTGCCATAGGTTGCCTACCCCTGTGCTAGACCCTGCTCACCTCCCAAAGCTGGGCATGGAACCCAGGAGTCCTGGCCCCAGCCCTCTGCTCCAACCACTACACCCTGCTCCCCTCCCAGAGCTGGGCATGGAACCCAGGAATCCTGACTCCAGCCCGGGTTCAGAGCTGGGACTCAGTGTCTCCCAGCACCCCCAGCTGGGATCAGACCCAGGAGCTGGCTCCTTCCCGACGTGGGAGACTAGCCTATCCCCACCCCACATGCCCTGGGGGCAGGGGCTAAGGGGGAGGAGTGATGGCGGGGTGGGGAGGCTGGGAGGACATGGGGGTCCCCAGAAGTGCCCCACCTGTTTGAGCTGGATTTCCGAGTTGACCTTGACATTGCAGATCTCACAGTGGAAGGTGCGCTCCTGAGCGTTGGGGTCCTGGCTGCCTGGCTCCCCGCTGGCCGTGGGGCCCAGCCGTGGGTACGCCTTGATGGGCCCCAGCCCGCTGCGCGCCTCCAGGATGGTTTTGTGCTTGGTACCTGGGCGGGGAGGGGGGACAGTGAGGGGGAGCAGTGGTGGGAGCTCCCCTCTCCATAGCCAGCGCTCCCACCCCGCTCCCCACAGCGCCCCCTTGATTAGCCTTCACTTTGGATGGACTGAGTTTGCTGGCTCTTTGCTGGACCAATCAGAGGGCAGAAGCCCCCCCACCTGGCCCCGTGTTCAGCTCGGTCACAGCCAGTGGCCCAGGCCAGGGCAGATCCCTGGGGCTGGGGTTGCTTGGCACAGCACGGATGCTCCCCGCGGAAAGTCCCGCCCAGGGGCCTGGCTGCCGCCCCTCATACGCCCAGCACAGACAGGGCCACCGGCAGGGGGCAAGTGGGGAGTTCCCTGGGCACTCACTGCAGGGCGGGAAGCTGGTCACAAACATCCCCTGCCCAGCTCACTTGCCCCAATCCGCAGCTCCCCCCACTTTGCTGTCCTAGCCCTGGCTCCCCACACACACAGTCGTGCCAATGCCCCTCCATCCCGACCAGCAGCCCCCTGCTACCCTAGCCCTGGCCTCCCTCACACTGCTCAGTCAATGTCTCTCAATCCCAACCCACAGAGCCCCTTACCAGTGGGTGTGCCCGCAGGGCAGGTGGGGGCAGGGTACGGCTGTGGGGGGGTGGCTGGATGAGCTGATGTGGGGGGCTAGCTGCACAACTGGGAGGTGGCTGGAGGAGCCGGGGAGGTTGGTGGATGAGCTGAGGGAGGGCTAGATGAGCAGAGGGATGCCTGGAGGAGGTGGGGGGGCTGGAGGAGCCGGAGGGATGGCTAGACAGGCGGAGGGTGTGTGGATGAGCTAGGGGGCTGAACGAGCCGGGGGTAGCTGGATGAGTGGAGTGTGGCTGGATGAGTGGAGTGTGGCTAGACGAGCTGGGGGGGCGGGTGGCTGGACGAGCTGGGCAGGGGCTAGATGAGCCGGGGGGTAGCTGGGTAAGCAGGGTGTGGCTGGACGAATTGGGGGGGGG